GTGATATTTGTGTTGAGTTGTAACATATTATTAATGCTTAAAACATGATCCTTGTGTAAATGTGTGAACCTTCATCTCCAGTGATACTTGTGTTGAGTTGTAACATATTCTTAATGTTTAAAACATGATCCTTGTGTAAATGTGTGAACCTTCATCTCGAGTGATACTTGTGTTGAGTTGTAACATATTCTTAATGTTTAAAACATGATCCTTGTGTAAATGTGTGAACCTTCATCTCCAGTGATACTTGTGTTGAGTTGTAACATATTCTTAATATTTAAAACATGATCCTTGTGTAAATGTGTGAACCTTCATCTCCAGTGATACTTGTGTTGAGTTGTAACATATTCTTTATGTTTAAAACATGATCCTTGTGTAAATGTGTGAACCTTCATCTCCAGTGATACTTGTGTTGAGTTGTAACATATTCTTAATATTTAAAACATGATCCTTGTGTAAATGTGTGAACCTTCATCTCCAGTGATACTTGTGTTGAGTTGTAACATATTCTTAATGTTTAAAACATTCATTATATATTCTATCCTGCTCGTAGAACTGTAACGAATCTTTAAGCTGCTATTATCTCTTGATTATCGCGTTAATTGAAAGTTTTAGCTATACGAAAGAAACGCCATAGTGTGTTAACATCCATAGTGTGTTAACATCCGTAGCGTGTTAACATCCATAGTGTGTTAACATCCGTAGCGTGTTAACATTCATAGTGTGTTAACATCCAAGCTGCCTAATTTTCAAACAGCACTGTTAGGAGTTCCGACGTTATTATCAGACTACAGACAAGTCGTCAAACAAAGCTAGAAGTGCTTTTCCGAGGAGATTACCGAGTCTGATACTCTAATTACCGGATTGATCGAAACAATGGCAAAAGCTTACAGCAGCGATAAACAAATGGAAAATTAAATGAGTTCAGTAAGAAGACTAGATAAAATCGGTAGAGTCCTGTGCTAATTATACACAAGGCTAGATAAAATCGGTAGAGTCCTGTGCTAATTATACACAAGGCTAGATAAAATCGGTAGAGTCCTGTGCTAATTATACACAAGGCGAGATAAAATCGGTAGAGTCCTGTGCTAATTATACACAAGGCTAGATAAAATCGGTAGAGTCCTGTGCTAATTATACACAAGGCTAGATAAAATCGGTAGAGTCCTGTGCTAATTATACACAATACTTTTTTTTTGGGGGGGGGTGAAGTGAAAGAGGAAGAAGTGGTTGTATCTTAAAACCACACAAACAAATTAAATATTGTATAAGTGGATTTATCGTAACACTGAGTACTGAAGTAGTTCTGGATCTGTTCGTTGTTCGGTTCTCTTTTGGTGTCTCATCTTACTGCAGCATGATACCTGACGCGTATTTGTCAATTGCATGTGAGATCTGATGTTAAAACTGTTCCACTCGCCGAACTCTGACGTGATTAGATCGTTGAAAATGAGAAAACTTGTATTTCATTCCAAGTAAGACCAAATCTGTATCAGATCGGTTACTAATAACGTGGGATATTGGTCTTTTATCGTACATGATTGAAACACACCCATATAAAAAAAGCTTGTATATCTTAATATATATATAATTTATAAAAATATCATCCAATCATGTTAGGTAAGCTTCTTGTAGAGGCTAATGCTTAGACATCCCAAGTAAGAATTCTAAGACCACGTTTATTTTAGCGGGAAAAAACCATCTAAGTTTTGCACAGACTGCTATCAAAGCCGAGAGTGACATATGTAGAACAATGTTCGTGAATCTACACAGATAGGATTATCTCTGGCAGGGTGGGTAACTTGTAGCTCCTTACATGAGTAAGATGGACAGATAGGTATATACATAAATAGGCATTGTTGATGTCAGTGCATGTAAGTTCAAACTGGGGATTACTGGTACTTGTGAATATGAATAGACATTCAGGGTTATCGATAACTGTGCATGTATGAAGAGACCAGGTGTTATTGATAGATATATAATGTGAATAGAAACTAGGGGTTACTGATCTCCGAGAATATGAATATAAGCTCGAGGTTATTAATTTCTGAGAAAATGAATAGAAACTCGGGGTTATTGGTCTTTAAGAAAACGAATAGAAATTCAGGGATATTGGTCTTGGAGAATATGAATAAAAACTCGGGGTTATTGATATCTGAGAAAATGAATAGAAATTCAGGGATATTGGTCTTTGAGAATATGAATAGAAATTCAGGGATATTGGTCTTTGAGAATATGAATAGAAATTCAGGGATATTGGTCTTTGAGAATATGAATAGAAATTCAGGGTTATTGGTCTTTGAGAAAATGAATAGAAACTCAGAGCTACTACTATCTGAGTATTTGGATAAAAATTTAAGTTGGTTAATGAAAAAAAAACTACTACGTTCCTCATATAGTGGCGCATAAATTTGGATTTTACTTGTCAGAACCACATTGTTCTTGATAGTTTTATTATAAAAACGGCATCCTGTTTGTTCTGATCTTGTTCACGGAATATAGTTAACACAAAGAATGCCACCTATGACTGTTTTCTTTGAACATTAATAACTTCAAGAGTTAGGAGATTTATAATATAAACATTTGTATTCCTGACTTCTAACATGCTCGAGAGAATGGTACAACTACATAAGTTAAAACTGTTTCTGGACATATCTAACAAAGTTAAATATTTTGAAAGTCATTTACATTTAATTGTAAATGGGCAATTTTAAGTGAGCTCAGGAATACTTGTATTCAGGAAATATCTAAGATTGTATACTTTCATAATGTTTACAGTAAACATTCACACTAAACTGTTGTTATTTACCGTCGTTTCGGCTACTTTCATAATGTTTACAGTAAACATTCACATTAAACTGCTGTTATTTACCGTCATTTCGGCTACTTTCATAATGTTTACAGTAAACATTCACATGAAACTGCTGTTATTTACCGTCGTTTCGGCTACTTTCATAATGTTTACAGTAAACATTCACATGAAACTGCTGTTATTTACCGTCGTTTCGGCTACTTTCATAATGTTTACAGTAAACATTCACATTAAACTGCTGTTATTTGCCGTCGTTTCGGCTACTTTCATAATGTTTACAGTAAACATTCACATTAAACTGCTGTTATTTGCCGTCGTTTCGGCTACTTTCATAATGTTTACAGTAAACATTCACATTAAACTGCTGTTATTTACCATCGTTTCGGCTACTTTCATAA